TGTTGGATAAGTTTTAGAATTCAGCATTAGCTGATACAAAGAAGTTGTGAAGATGATGGTGAAACATATGAAACTTGAAGATGTAGCTGTTGTAGCAGTGACCTGTACTAGTTGTTAAGTACTACATGAGGTTGTACGAGCGGACTGGCTGAGCTTAAGGCCTCGTGGGCTTGAAGGGGTGGGCTGAACCAAGCTATTATGGACGTGAAGAGATGCTCTAGGTGAGCTGGAGGCGTTCCTTGGAGAGGATCAAGGAGCATGAAGATTTCCTTATATCTTGGCTAAGATTAAGGAAATGAGGATATTCTACAAAGATGTGAAATCTTCCAAACTTGAAGACCAAGGCTAGGGGTAGCTGCCTATTCCTATTATGTATAAATAAGAGTGTAAAAACGTGGAGAGACGTTTATTAAAGAGCATATTTCTTAGCAAAGGGAATTTAGGGTTGTTCTTGTAAGAGATCTTGATCAAAGGGGCTAAGGGTTAGTGAGAGGTTCACAAGATCATGTGTTGATTTGTGAACACTTGAGGCTAAGATTGGAGTTGATAAGTGGAACTTGTAAGTGTACTTATCGTTTAATCTAGTAAAATATTTTTGAGAAAAGAACCCCTTGTGTATTGTGTTGGTTTCATGTACCTGTACCTGTAGTACTCTCTGTTACATCAGCTCTCGCACTTTCACTTTGTGTGGCGAACCTCGATCCATCTAACTTGTAAACTCTCGATTATCCTGTGAACATAATTTTGGTGGATTTCAATCTTATCTCATCTGGTATCAGAGCTAAAAACTCCTATCTTCAGGTTGTGTTCGTCCAACCTTTAACTTTTTCAATTCTGTTTTGCTTTTATTTGATTTCGTAAACCAAAATCATAAAAATTGTGTTCTACTTTTTTTTTCTTTTTAATTTGGTTTCATCAGTTAAAAAAAAAATTATATAAAATTGTCTTGCTTTGTTTTCTGGTTAGTTTGATTTCTTATAAAACGAAAATCACAAAAAAGATATTTCTTTTATATTTGGTTTTGTTTTATTTCATAAATCGAAAAAGCCATAAAAATTAC